CGTACTGGGTATTCAATTTTTTATGGAATTTTTTCCACATTCTCATCCCAGAATATGGTGCCTGAAGGTTTTTTACGTGAAAAAGGTACTTCTAATTCAAATCAATAAGGCAAGTTGTTTTTGAAAAAAACCGCAATTTTCTGCATTGATGCATTCTCAATATCCTACAAACCGCTCACACTGAAAATTTGAAATTTTGCTTACTTTTTATGCCAAATTAAATCCTGAGCTGAATAAGTGTATCATACTGAAGGGGGTAGGTTAGAATTCTAGTGTTTGATGGCTTGTAAGGAGATAATGGGTATCGGTGTGATAAATTGCAATTTTCTTCAAAAATTTAGAACTATTATTAGATTTTTGAGAAAAGACGTAATTGTTAAAAATAAATCGTCATTACAATGGTTGTTTTGACGTGCAATGATATTTTGAGCTAAGAATCTTATCTAGCGTTGAAAGTTCATGCATTTTACCATTTTCAAATATATCAGTGTAAGCTGTTTCGAAATGCTGGCATCAATGATTAGATTATGAAAATGATGACTTAATTGTATTATCAACAGAAATATTGATCGATAAAAATAAAGTAATTCTAAAGAGAACTTCAGCTTACATTGATTGGCTTCTGAACCCTCCATGTATAGCTGCTCACGGTCCATATTATTATTATAATGACCATAGGTCTCTATACAGGGTGATTCAGGTTTTAAGGCACAAACTGAAATGGAGATAGATAGCATCATTTTAATCAAATAAGTTTATATAAACATTAGTCCGATCTCGTTCAGTAACGGAGCTACAGGGGGTCAAAGTTTAATTATTTTTTTCTATTAATTGAAATATCTCGCTTACTTTTCAAGATAACTTTTCGAAATTTGGTGTGGTCAATACTTTCTTGAAGATCATCATTTCAAGCATTTTAAAGATTTTCAAAATCTACAGGGTGATACGTTTTTGGAGGTAGAGGCTTCTTTATCCCCTTCAAACTTTTTCGTAGTACGCCTCTGGCATCTTTCAGTGATCAAATTGTGTGGATCGTTCAATTTAGAGGCTTTTTTTGCTCCTCAATTTTTTTCGAGAAACGAACTGTTTTTGAGATAAATAAGCATATACGTTCGAAAACATGTTAATTTTGCTTATGTTTCGCTTAAATTGTATTCTTTGACAAAATTCGTTGAAAATGCAACAAAATGTTCTAAGATTGCAATGTTCTTACGCACGTTACTGATCCAGATTGGTTTCGTGATTTCAATTTTAGTGAGTACATTTCACGAAAAAGTTTGGAGGGGATAAAGAAGCCTCTACTTCCAAAAACGTATTACCCTGTAGATTTTAAAAATCTTGAAAATGCTTGAAATGATGATCTTCTAGGAAGTATTTACCACACCAAATTTCAAAATGATATCTTGAAAAGTAAGCGAGATATTTCATTCAATAGAAAAAAAATAATTAAACTTTGACCCCCTGTAGCTCCGCTACTGAACGAGATCGAACCAATGTTTATATGAACTTTTTTGATTAAAAGAATGAGATCTATCTCCCATTTGAGTTTGTGCCTCAAAACCTGAATCACCCTGTATATCAAGCGTCATACATCCGGCAATAAATCATGATGAAGAATACAAGATTTGTTGTGATTCAATTAATAGAACCAACACCAATTGTCATTTGTTTTTGGTGTTGAACCTCCTTCCTTTTAATTGAGACAATTTAGTTACCTCTTATCAACTACATCCCCTTTCACTAGAGAACAAACTGAGAGGTAATGTAGGTATATTCATGGGCGCCCGCAACAATATTTCTTGGAGCAGGGGGACAGAACCAAATTTTGTAGAACTATAGACATTACTGATTTTGTATTACTTTTTTTTTTCTACTCCCGTATATGCGAATTAAATATCTGCTACGGATTTCTTATCATTCCAACATGAATTTTCATTATGTTACAGATTTGGCCAATAAAAACGCTCCATTATCTTACGATATAATTATTTTCAGAGGTAAAGCTCGGACAGGTCGATTTTGTATTTCAGTCTTCCATCTTTTTTTACAAAAAAATAATTTTTTCCCCCACCACCTTACAAGATATGACGTCATCGATATTTTTTTTAAATTGAAAGGGTATATTTTTGGAAATGGAAACCTGAGAATTACTCAGTAGATAGTACGAGTATATTTGCCATACTTGAGTAGTAAGCTAGTAGTATTTTCACTACTTCTTATGATATTTTCATTGCAAATAAATAATTAAATGAATGTTGAGAAATATGAACACTAGTTTCATTTATACTCAGTATACTGTGACTTGAAGTGTAAGATATGACGTATGTGGTATGGTTGAACTCAGAAAAATATGGGCTTTCAATTTTTGATATAAAAATATACCCTTTCAATTTAAAAAAAATATCGATGACGTCTATCTTGTAAGGTGGTGGGGGAAAAAATTATTTTTTTGTAAAAAAAGATGGAAGACTGAAATACAAAATCGACCTGTCCGAGCTTTACCTCTGAAAATAATTATATCGTAAGATAATGGAGCGTTTCCACACTTTATGAACGCACTGTATAATTAAGATGGTATAATCAAGTAATAAAGTTCCTTTAAAGCATACTATAACGTCATCTACGTATCTATACCAATTGAAGAATTGTTTCATCAATGGATATTTATGTATTATTCACTTCATGAAAATTTCAGCAAGTAAAGGGTCAGTGAATTTCCCATAATCAACCTACCCATCCAAACATAAAATTCGCAATGGAAATAGAGTTGTCGATCATCAGTACTCCGAATATGAAACATCCTGTTTGTAAATCAAAATGGTATACACAGTTTTTTACGCATAATTGTCCTTTTAGTGTGCCTACAAAATTTCAGAACGATAAACAATATTGAGATATACAAAAAAATAAATGAATGAAATTCAATTTTGACGCTCTGTAGCGACTAAACGGAGTGTTTTGGTATGGAGGTGAGTTTGGTTCAATCATCGCACTTTGGTCTCAGGAGTCCATGGTATCATTTTGTACAGACCTACAGGACACTCTGTATTAATTTCGATGACACCATTTACATAAGTTTTTTATCATTTCAATATATGCATTCTATATTGTGTACAGTCTGTCCAAGATAAGGTTGAACAGCATGGGGATCTCGAAAACGGTAGGAGATACGAAGTCGGTTAAATGGGGAAAAAGTTGCGCATTCGGAGGCTCATATCAAGAGCCTTCGAAAATTTTCAAAATTATTTTTAGTTTTTTAGTTATATCGAAAAAAGTGAATTTTTGGAATATCTATTTTATTATTTTTTCTCCGTTATTATTAGAGATACTGAAAAACTGAGAATACTTTTGCATAGCATCTTTTGATGACGTTTAACGTGGTGATACCAATTTTTCTATGCGACGTTTCGTATTCGTAGAACCATCATCAACTTTTGTTTTTTAAATACGGTCCTGATAATTTTTTCACAGATTCTGAAAGGTTTTTTCATTTTGAATTCAACCATGTATTATACAAGGTGATTTATGTGTGTTTCGACCTATTTTTGACCATCATCAATGTTTTTTCGAAACTCCAAAGGAAAAATGCCATCAATTCCACTTATTTTGAAGGAAAATTAGTCAACACACTAATACCTCATCAACTGGTTTCAATCAACAACCCATTTCATTTTGCGGAAACAAAAATTCCATCCATACAAATTCAAAATATATGTCAAACGCTAAAACCAGGCGATGACGAAAACCGCAGGACATTCTGTGAGTGGTATACCAGGAAATGTCAAAATTTTGCAATTTCCCGCGAACAATCATCTGGACTGATGAAATCATGGTCACTAATCATGGTATCTTCGATAGAAAAAATACACATTATTGTTCACGAGAAAATGAACATTTATACATTACAGCGAGACACCAACACCGTTTCGGCTTTGATATCTGGGTTGCAATATTTGGTACACGAAGTATTGGTCCTTTTATTCACCATGAAACACAGACTTCCTAACGTTATAGAAATTTGTTTGAGAATCATCTTGAGGAAGCTCTGGATGATTTACCGATTGCGGAAGTTGTGCGTTTTTATCCAGAAAAATGGATTGGTACTCATTCTGCAGTCCCTTAGCCGGCGCGGTCACCTGATTTGACACAGCTGGATTTTTTTTTAGGGTATATATCAAAAACTTTGTACACGCAAATAGCTCTGATGATGAAGAAGAACTAAGGGACACTGTCATCGAAGCATTCAATAGAATAACCCCAGAAATGCTTAGTAATGTCTTAGAAGCAACTGTGAGAAAAGGATATCTTCGTTCAGAAAATAATGGTTATCATTTTGAACATTTGTTATGAATGTTTCTGAAGGTATTGTCAAAGTTAAGTTGTTAAAGTAATCCGTGTAGCATTGAATGATGTAGGGAAATATTTTTTGATCATTTTTCAGTATTGAATAACTAATCCATCAATGTTTGACACTAAATGATCAGAAATAAATGGAACTGATTGCACTTTTCCTTTGGAAGTTCGAAAAAACATTGATGATGGATAGAAATAGGTCGAAACACATTCGAACCACCTTGAATAATAGATGGTTGATTTCAGAATGAAAAAACCTTTCAGAATCTGTGAAAAAATTATCAGGACCGTATTCAAAAAAAAAATTGGTGATGGTTCTACGGATACGAAACGTGGCATAAAAAATTGGTATAACGACGTTGAACGTCATCAAAAGTTGCTATGAAAAAGTATTCTCAGTTTTTCAGTATCTCTAATAATAACGGAGAAAAAAAAATAGATATTGCAAAAATTCACTTTTATCGATATAACTAAAAAACTAAAAATAATTTTAAAAATTTTCGAAGGCTCTTGAAATGAGCCTCCGAATGCGCAACTTTTTCCCCATTTAACCGACTTCGTATCTCCTACCGTTTTCGAGATCCCCATGCTGTTCAAACTTATCTTGGACAGACTGTATATTCAATATGGATAATTAATAATTTTCAGAGGGCCAGAGAAAAGCTCTGTTCGAGGAATATGAAGCTGAGAGGAAATCGAATGCAGAACAAATTCTGAAACTCAAGAAGGAGATCTCCCAACTGATAGTCGTTGTACACGAAAATACAAATCCAACTGCCAAATTTAGAATAAAGAATAGAAAATTGGAGAGCATCATTGGGCCTTTGAATGAAAAATCTTGCAACGAGGTGCAGGAACTATTGGATCTACAAATTATAAATAAAAAAAAGAAACTTGATTTACTTGAATACAAAATAAAGCAAGTAGGTACCACCTAGGTATTTACCACCTATCACCATAATTCCATAACCCAATTCCACATATTGAATTTTTTTTCTTGTAGAGAAAAAAATATCTAGAAGATTTAGGAGCGCAATATCAGAAAATGTTGAGTAAGCATGATAAAAAGGAACTCGACAAAAAAGTGGAACAACCAGTTAAAAAGGTATGCTTTACAAAAATAAAATTAATGAAGTGTTGCTTTAACTAGCGGGTTGGTGAGTTAGAGTAAGTAATTCAAATACTAGCTGTAGATTAATCAAGGAGGCGGAATATTCCCATTTTGCATAATTGCATAGACAATATCTCCGAAAAATTGACTTTGAACCTTTTCAGTTGATCTGATTGCTCTAAAATTCTGTTTGGCTGATCATTTTTCCTAAAAAAATGTGTGATTGTTGGTTGATATCCTGGCAGCACCTTGGAGCCCTAAAAATGATTCGAATTCCAATATAAGCTGTAGGTCCCGCTGTTCCTAACACCGCACAAGTGGGGAGTTGGTTTTCAAACTAGTAATATTTTTAATGCGTTGATATTTTGTCGTTTCTAAAGGTAACTACAGGTACAGGTTGAAGTTATACTAATATTTTCATTTATAGAAACGAGGGAAGAAAATCTCAAAAATCTAAAGAAATCAATCAATCAAAGTATATGTTTCATTGTCTGAAGATATAATCTCATTAACAAAGCCCGGAGGAGAGGAAAAATTATAACAAATCAAGTCCAAAATGTTCGTGTACAAACCACAACAGTAAAATAGAAAAAATATATACGAGATATACACTAAAATAAGATACAACAAAGTATGAAATTATATTTGGGTAAAGCTTTTGTTGAGGTACCTCATATACGGACTTCATAAAATACATCTTCTGTAAGAATCATTTCAACCGATCTCGTGAACAAAATTGGTGACACTGATTTTGAGGCGTATTGGAAGTTCTTGTTTTGGCGGGTAGGTCCTAAATTGATATTATACAGGGTGTCTGTAAAAGGTCTTTACAAAAACATACCACATATTCCCTAGACCAGAATAAGTCGATTCAGGTAAAAAAAAAAACATTTCCTACTGACAAACTCTTTGAAGATGCAGGTGTTCTTGACATTTCTCAATTATACTTAAAATCTGTTGTAAGATATCTATCAAAAATGAATATACCGAAAGTTAATCATGTTATAACAACTAGATCAGTAACAAATGAAAATGTAATTGTTCCTACTACATCTTATGTAACCATTCAACGAAGTATATTTTATATAGGACCAAAAATATATAACATACTGCCAAACGAACTCAGAGGCAAACCATACAAAAAAATCAAAAATAAAATATCATCTTGGATTTTAAAAAGCAAACCCAATATCTAGTTATTAGTTTGACATATATATTGCATATATTGTATATATTCAGATTGTATATTACATTAGTACATATTAGTCCAGATGGTATAGTATATATAGTCTATAAGACGATTCATTAGCAAATTCACTCATAGGTGAATTGTGTTATAAATGTGACTGGTGCACACACAAGCTTTTGAAGCTCATTTTGTACCTGAATGTATGTAAACCATTTGACTGTTCATTGATATTGAATAAATACTCAAAATACTCAAATACTCAAAATTACCTCAGTACAAAGTTGCATCGTTTGGGCTCCAGAGAGTCTTGAAGTTTTTCCCATATAAATTCAAAACGGCATATGCGATTTTGCTGAAATTTAGTATATTGATAGAGTTTCATGTGGCAAAAAAATGGTGTTAAAATTTTGTCCGATAATAATACATAGGCGTAGAACTTGAGTTTTTAAATAATTGAACCTTTAAATATTCTACGCCAATGGAAGAAAAGGAGTTTGAGTATGAAATTTAGATTGCTCAACTCATTTACTTTAAAAAAGGTACTCTTGATAAGACTCGATTTCTCTCATGGTTTTGACGAAATTTGCATTTTAGTAATTTTAGAACATAAACAATAATTATTAAAATACAAACTCTGTCAAAACCATGAGAGTAAATCGAGTGTTATCAAGGGTACTTTTTTGTAGTGAATGAGTACCCAATCCAAATTTCATAGTTGACCCCCTTTTCTGCCATAGGCGAAGAACTTGATTTTTTAAATAATTGCACCTTCAAAAATTCTACGCCAATGGCAGAAAAGGGGTTTGAGCATGAAATTTGGATTGGATACTCATTTACTACTGAAAAGTACCCTTGATAACATTCGATTTACTTTCATGGTTTTGACAAAGTTTGTATTCTAATAATTATTGTTTATGTTCTAAAATTACTAAAATGCAAATTTCGCCAAAACCATGAGAGCAATCAAGTTTCATAAAGAGTACCTTTTTTAAAGTAAATGAGTTGCGCAATCTAAATTTCATACTCAAACTCCTTTTCTTTCATTGGCGTAAAATTTTTAAAGGTTAAATTATTTAAAAAATCAAGTTCTACGCCTATGTATTATTATCGGACGAAAATTTTACACCATTTTTTTTGCCACCTAAAACTGTATCAATATACCAAATTTCAGCAAAATCGCATATGCCGTTTTAAATTTATATGAGAAAAACGATTTAAAAATTGTAACTTCAAGGCCCTCTGGAGTCTGGAGCCCAAACGATGCAACTTTGTACTGAGGTAATTTTACTTAAATCGACTTATTTTGGTCTAGGGAATATGTGGTATGTTTTTGTAAAGACCTTTTACAGACACCCTGTACATAATACATAATATAACATGTAGGTTTTTGTAAACTATATGAAGATACCGTTTCTAGAATTGGGAGAGAAGGAACGAGTAATAATATTCTGTTCCTTGAAAAATCGATTCCCCACCTTAAAGATATAGCGAACAGCACGCTTTTATCTGTGCTTTTGTAAAGTAGTGATCATGCCCAGCGAGCACAAAAACATCTCAAAGATGTTGAAAGTACGAGATGTCGAGACATTGAACCTCCACTGCGATGTCCTGTTCACACATGAATAGAACTTTCATAGAACAGCCAGTGTCCGACGCAGGCGGCGTTCATAAAGATATCCTTGGGATGTCACAAAAATACATTCTCCCTGATATTTTTGATAGTCTTTTCATGGACACAAGAGTTTTGCGCACATTTAATCGATGCAAATAAACCATTCCTGGTGGATATATTATAGAAAAAAGAAGGAAATTGTGAAGGAGCTTTCTCCGCTGGGGAATCGACCCTACTCTCTCATGATTTAATTTTTACAATCCTTACACCTTGCCTTACACCTTGTCCATTGCGCTATAGAAATCTTATTGACCAACGATATGAATAGAAATATGTCAACATGCACTTCATTATTACAGTAGAGGATAATATTTTTTCTTTGACGGGAAAAAAGTTTGGCATTTCATCTCTGTTGGCAGGTTATAAAATGTCACTTTTCATAAATTACTTTTTTCCCGTGGGAAAAAAGTGAGCACTTTTTTCCCGAATATATATCACATATATACACTCTGTTAATGGCTTTTGTTATGCTATAGTTCCGAAAAATGAGTCAATAATACCGTCTCCGAGAAAGAACTGCAAGTCCTTTTATCTTCCATTCGACTTCGCGGTTTCGTATATTACTAAACAACTACTGAATTCGCAATTTTTCAAAATCAAATCACAGAATTGAACTGACAGAAGTGACATCAGATATTTGATTACTTCAAAAGAATGATAAAGATGCCTATAAAACGCAGGTGTCCCTACTGTTAAAAACTTGAAATTTCACGTCCATAATTTTCACATTTCGAAATAATGTAATATCTTCTCAATATTGATTCGTCCTTCCTTCTGTCACAGAAAAAAATAGTGTATTATACACGGGAAAAATATTAGATTTTAGCTCACGGTTTTTTGTCTCCCTCCGCTACGCGTCGGAAGACAACACAACCTGGAGCTAAAATCTACTACTTTTTCCCTTGTATGATAAATAACTATTAGATAAATATTGATACAAGAATAACATCCATATCATATTTTGACACGATTCTGTATATTCTCAGAATATTCTGAGATTATGTCAAATTGAATGTTCATGGAATATTTTTTGCCAATGGAAATATTTTATGATCATTCTGAGAACATTAGAATCAGAATATTCCAAAATAAGTATGAACGTTCTGAACGTTGTCAGAATATTCGTGAAATAATCTTTGCTGTTTAAAATATTATTACGGATTATGGACGACACGTATGATGGTCATTTTTAATACACCGTCGTTGCATCTGTTCCGAGAGAAATAGGAGGTCGTTGGTATTGTAATAATGGAATAAAAAGACGCTTCAAACGCGAATGCGAACAAATACAACGAAATCGGAAACAAATCGGAATTCATTGTATTGTGACATAAGCATGAGACGTTGTGGTGGGGCAAGCAAAGAAATGGCACAGAAGAACAGAAACAATACTTCCAATTTCCTTCGAAGGCCTCTTTGGGAGATGCATATTACGTCTCGATAAAACATCCTCACGCCAACATTTTTGAAACATCCCAAAACATTCCAGGGATACCTCTCAGTAGGCACACAAAGAAATGCCACAGAAGAACAAAAACAATACTTTCAATATCCTTTGGAAGATCTCTGTGGGAAGTGCATATTACGTCTCAGAAAAACATCATCTTGCCAACACTTTCAAACCATCCCAAAACATCCCAGTGATGTTTGTGCTCGCTGGGTGTTGGAGCACTGTCTATTGCAGGTTCCCCAGAATGAGATGATTAGGATGCCATAGCTCATGTGCGATTCAATTAATGCATGATACATCATTTTATCCGTTCTCATGTCCAATTCATTCGATACCACACGTAAGGCATAACACCCTGTGAGTAGATTTTTGCTCAGCGCTTCAACCAGGGTCGTTCGTATGGCGAGGCAAGGGAGGGGGCGCTTGCCTTACTTGTCCTTACTCAAATACATTCTCAATATACACTCAGCTCCAAAAAAAGTGACGCACTTGATATTTGACCTATCTTCTCAAAATAAAAAAACAAAAAATAGTAGGCCGATTTTTATTTTTTTTCTATTTGTTGGTAGGTAATGCATTTGTCTTTAAAAAATGAATAGAGGTGAAATTTTTTTCAAAGCCTCCTTGATGGTGAACCATGATTTATTCTTAATTTTTGACTCACCCTGTGTGTTAACTGAGTAATGGCATAGAAAGTGCTTACACCCTATACGAAAGAGGCTTCTTTTGCGAGCATTTTGTTTTTTTATTCATTGATTTATTTCTAAAATTTTCCGAATTACAGCTTTTTTGCTGATACCTTACGCTTATCCCACAAATTAAATTTATTGAAGGATCAGAGTACTCAAAATTAATTGGATTGTACTCTGGTAGGATCACATTGTCTTCAAAAAAACAAATGCCGTTTCCATAGCAACTAATTTGATGTATGCCTGATATGCCTCCATATTTAACCATTTGTCGTTGTGTCATTAATTAAGTGTCTTGTTTTATTGACTAAAATTACATAAAATGCCTCAAATAAATCCTGAACAAGTAGCAAGATTAGTTGCGTTAGTAAACGATGGGCGTAGTAAACGTTACGCCGGTCGTGCAGTGGGAGTTCATGAAGCAACTGCTCGTAGAGCAATCCGCAAGTACGAACAAACAGGAAGCACCGCTCGGAGGGTCGGTTCTGGTCGCCCCCGAAACTCTTCTCCAAGAGATGATCGCTTCATGAGATTGCGGATTTTACGGAATCGATCAAATACTGCGGTAAATGTTCAGCAAGATCTTCGCCAAATTCGTGATGTTGCAGTAAGTAAGCAGACGGTATGTAGACGTCTAAAAGAAGTTAATTTAAAAGCAAGGAGACCTGCAAAAGGTCCCAAATTATTGCCCGAACATCGTGCTGCTAAGAGAAATTTTGTTGAAAATTATGGACAGTGGAATATTCCTGAATGGTCGAATGTCTTGTTTACGGATGAGTCAAGGTTTTGCCTCAACATGGTGGATGGAAGAAAAAGAGTGTGGAGAAGAACTGGTGAACGGTTTAATCAAAATTGAATAACAGAATGCGAAAGTTTTAATGGTGGGTCCGTTATGATGTGGGGAGGAATTTCAATGAATGGAAAGACACCCCTTCATGTTTTTCCGGTGAGGCAGTCAATGAATGCCCATATTTACATTGACATATTAGAGCAGTATGTCTTACCTTATGCAGAGTTAGTGGACAATAATTTTATATTGATGCAGGATAATCCCCGACCACACACCGCAGCAATAGTGCGAAACTTCTTAGAAGCTACTGGTATTACCACATTACAATGGCCTGCGAGAAGCCCCTATATGAATCCTATAGAACATATGTGGGATGAATTAGGGAGAAGGGTACGTTCTCGCGAGAGGTCTCCGGAAAGTCTCGCAGAAATGGCAGATGCATTAGTGGAAGAATGGGATAGTATACCAATGGAAACGATAAGCAACTTAATTTCCAGTATGCCTCGTAGATTAGAAGTCCTTAGAGTTGCTAGAGGAGGCAATACACTGTATTAAGCAGTCATCCCAATTTATAATTTTGTGTTTAATAAAAATGTTTTTTAAAATTATTGGTATCAGTTCATTTCATTAGAAAATTGTTTCTCGATAAATTCAGAAAGTTGGTAATCTGCAAGGATTCAGCAAAAAAAGGTGTAATTCTGAAAATTTTAGAGATAAATCAATGAATAAAAAAACAAAATGCTCGCAAAAGAAGCCTCTTTCGTATAGGGTGAAAGCACTTTCTATGCCATTACTCAATTAACACACAGGGTGAGTCAAAAATTGAGAATAAATCATGGTTCGTGTTATTCCACCACCATCAAGGAGGCTTTGAAAAAATTTTCATCTCTTTATTTTTTTTAAAGACAAATGCATTACCTACCAACAAATAAAAAAAAATCGGCCTACTATTTTTTGTTTTTTTTTTTCAAGAAGATAGGTCAAATATCAAGTGCGTCACTTTTTTTGGAACTGAGTGTAGTTGGGGAGACACATTTGTCGGCGAAGCCGCGGGACAAGTTTTATCAGCAGCTTATCAATGTTGCAATATTGTTCAAAAACGAGTAAATGTCAAACATGACAATAGCTGCAATTTTACAAATCGTTTAAAGGCATATCAGTAAGAAAAAAATCACCTCCTGCCACCTGTTTCGTAAAACGTCGTTCTCCTGTCATGGACCTAATGGTGTGAAAAAAATGTGACTTAAATGATGAATGCTTTTTTTTTGAACCGGTAGTTCATTAATTAGGAAGGCAGAAAAACTTATGCTGCCAAACAGTTGCGCAAGAAGATCATCAGTATACAGATGTCCCAGAACAACGTATCATAAATTGTACAGGGTGAACTAGAAAGCCAAATAGGCCGATTGAAATCAACTTACTTCTATACGAAAATGCATCGTTGAGCCGTGAGAGGGCATTGAAAAATAATTTTATTTTCAGATTTTCTTGAATATTTCGAAATCCTTATGAATGGTATTGCTCTGAAATTCATAGAGCAATTTGCTAACGTGAATGTGCATGAAAAACATAGGTATTCCAATTCAATCAATTTACAGATAGATAGATATTTAGCATTCTCTTTGATGAAAATTGATGTAACTCTCTGGATCAACAGATATGTCCTGAAAATTGTTCAGAATGTTCAACATTTTTGCGTATACAAAGACTAAGCAAATAACAGTTGTTGTCAACTCACTCTCCGCGTGAACCAGGGTTGCCAGTTTGATTTTTATGCCATCAGTAAATACCTTGTCAAAAATTCAGTAGATTTCAATAGATTTGTTTCAGATCCATTTTATGCTATACGAATTCCAAGAATAAATAATGAAATAAACCTATGACATTAACATCATGTACTTTTAGTGAACAAAAAAGTAAAGTAACCTGTTTCCTGTAACCTTTAACATGCAATAAAATCAGATCAAAACTGGTCTGGGATTGCCTTCAAAGCCTGCTAACCCTGGCTAACCACAACAAGGTAACTCTTCAATGGGTGCCAGGGCATAAGGGAATTGAAGGCAATGAAGAAGCTGACGCTCTTGCCAGGCAAGGGTCTGCGACGTTGTTTATGGGACCGGAACCTGTATTCGGTATCCCCAAAACCTCAATACGCTGCTGGCTGGCAAGGTGGATGCAAGAAAGACATCAGGCATACTGGAACAATGTCCCAGGACAAAGACACAGTAAACTGATGGTTGGAACACTGTCCAAAACAGTGACTAACGACATTCTGAGCCTAAACAGAAGTCAGATCAAACAAGTGACGGGACTAATAACCGGTCACTGCCCCTTGAGGAAACATATGCATCAAATGGGCATCTATACAGACGAACCCATATGCAGACTATGCAATGAGGAGGAGGAAACTGCCACCCATGTAATATTGGAGTGCAGGGCACTAGCGCGTTGGAGGTACAACCTTCTGGGAGCAGTGAACTCTCAAGAGGCATTTTCAAAGAATGATTTGGTGAAGAGGCTGCTAAACCTCATCAAGGTAGCGAACCTGTTCACCTAAGTCAACAGCATGATCAGGAATACAATAGGCCCAAAGGCTGCAGTGTTTTGGGCTTCAAACCCTGACTGATCATTCTGCTATTAATCAATCAATCAATCAATCAACCTGTTTCCAACAAAATAGAAACAAACAAACAAACATTCTCATAAAAATAATCATATTCCTAATTCTTGATTTAAAAATACTCACAAATATCATAAAATACATCAGTTACACAGGTATATAAAAAACAGTAACGAATAGTAAAAATGAACAACAGAAATACGAAACAAATAAAAAAATTGAACGTTAGAAACAAAATGTTACAACAGAAGTAGATAAAACAATTGAATTTGATCTGAATCAGATAAAGTATTGTTCTTTTTTGATTTATATAGCATATCAATCAATATGCAAATCAGGAGATCTACTAAAAATCCAGTAGAACTGGCAAACCTGCCGCGGACGAAAAGTGTTTGCCGACGAAAAGTTTTTGTCTCCGGAAATACTAGGTTTTTCGTTGGGAAATTAGAACGTAAAATGTGTTTTGTTTGCAGAGGACAAAAACAGTACTTAATGAAGTTGTCATTTGAAGTGAAAATGGGTGTAAGGCCAATTATTCAATTTTGAAATTTTCACATTGACACCTACCCGTATACCTTCTCATTTTCAGACTGTTTGCGAGCTTCAAAACAAAATTCATTCTGTCGATGTACAAATTCGAGAGGCCATGCATATCAAGAACAGATACACGAACATCAAACAATCCCTGAAAGAAGACGCGAATAAGTTCGAGAGTAATATCAGAATGCTCGAAGAGGAATTACATAAACAAAAAGCCGATATACAAAAATTGCAGAAGGTCAGTGAGATCCAAAATATTTTTCAAAATATTGTCCAGTAGAACCACAATAATTATCCCTGCGCGAATTATCTGGGCTGCGGATCATCCGTGCTCTATGATTTTTGTTTGTTGAAATCGTATTTTTGAAGTTTTATTGAAATATAACGTTACCGTAAATCCCTTGACAGCAACTTTCTAATACGCAGCGAGTTCGAACTCATGAGATCTACACTCAGATGCAAAAAAAAGTTATTATTCGGTCAAATTTCAAGTCTCATAACTTTTTAATTTTTGATTCGATTTTAATAATTTTCTCAATAATCTGTAGATAAAATGACTAATCTCAACTTGTATATCCTGTTTTTTGTTAAATGCTGGCGGATTAGTCATTATACAGGGTTAATTGAAAGGTTGTTGTGCAACCCTAATTTCAAAACACCCTGTGGAATAATTTGGTAGCCAAATTCTTTCAAAATATCAATTTTTGTTAAGAACCATTCCATTTCTACATTTTGATTTTTGGTTCATGTCTTCAAGTGCACTGGATCATTTTTAAAAGCCAAATGAACTTGAACTTGAAAAAAAAAAGAAAATTTACTCATGGAAACTTCAATTCCACTTCAAAATTAAATTTCAACTGTAACTTAATCAACCTAAAAAACGTACTTTCTACAAGAAATAAGCTCAATATTTTGTATTGCCACCTCTAGCTTTTATAACTGCCTGCATACGTCGGTTCATACTGTCAATAAGGTTACGAATAGCATCCTGGGGAATATTATGCCATTCCTCCTGAAGGGCTATACGCAGTTCATTTACTGTAATAACCAGAGCTATTTTGCGATCCCTGACTCGTCTACCAAGCATGTTCCATACATGCTCTATTGGATTGAGATCAGGTGAACATGCTGGCCAGTTGTTTGTTAATTTCAACTTCCGCGAGGTATTGCTTTATGTGGCCGTGCATTATCCTGCATTGGGATAAAACCATCGCCGACATATCCACTGAAAAGTACAACGTGATTGTTTGAAATCCCAACAATATATCGGTGAGCCGTCAAGGATCGTTACCACCGATAAATCGGTGGTAACGCAAGGATCCATCGATGACCACCAACTCAGTGCAGGCCTCCCGAATTATTCCTGCCCACACCATTACTGAAACTCCTCCATAGCTCGGACGGGTACTGAACGTGCAGTCTGCAAATCTTTCTCCGATCCATCTCCACACTCTTTTCCGTCCATCTGGGGAATTTAAGCAGAATCTGGATTCGGCAGTAAAAAGAACATTCTAAGTTCCAAATTAAATGTTCAGTGGCAAATTGCAGGCTAGCTACTCGGTGACGCGGAAGCAATTCGGGTCCAGTTGCTGGTCTGCAAGCTTTCAAACCAAAATCTTTCAACCTTCGGCGAACTGTCCATACAGACGAACCTCCTGGAGTTGATTTCTTGACTGCACTGAAGTTAGGTGACGATCCCGCAGAGTTTTAACGTGAAGAAATCTGTCATCACTTGCAGTAGTTTTTCGTTTTCTGCCACAACCTGCCTTTCGCTTATTTTCGCCAGTCTGTCTGAAACGTTCGACTACTCTTTTGATGGTAGAACGATAAACATGAAGTATTCTTGCAACATATTCATAATTACGTCCATCTTCAACAAGGCCAATTTTCTTAAAACCATTGCAGGAGTATAGGACAATGATATAGGTCTTGCGTAAAAAAATCACTGTCAATTTGACATAAGGACAACTACGATCGAAGCCACCTCATAAAAAAAATAACATTTCTTAGAGTAAACTGTTGCGACAGGTTAATTTCGCTCTTGAAAATGAACAGGTGCTTTCAAAGACATGGATCAAAAGTCAAAATGTGAAGAAGGAATGGTTCCTAACAAAAAATGGTATTTTGAAAGAATTTGGTTACGAAATTATTCCACAGGGTGTTTTGAAATTAGGGTTGCACAACAACCTTTCAATTAAATACTGTCTGTAGGTTAATCGAGGAGGTGGTATATTCATTATTCCAAATTTTTTGGGATTTTCTCTCCTCGTTTCTATAAAATAAAAATATGAATATTATTTCAATATACGTGTAGTACGGACAAATCAGATGATTTGCCCCAAAATGTCACTGCGTTTGAAGAATTTTCCTATCAGAGAGCCTAAAAGAAAAATTCACTTCTCCAAAAATTTTTTCAATACAAATTGTCACTGACAAGCTAGTGAATTTTTCTTTTAGGCTCTCTGATAGGAAAATTCTTTAAACGCAGTGACATTTTGGGGCAAATCATCTGATTTGTCCTTACTACACGTATATTGAAATAATATTCATATTTTTATTTTATAGAAACGAGGAGAGAAAATCCCAAAAAATTTGGAATAATGAACCTTTCAATTAACCCTGTATAATGACTAAACCGCCAGCATTTAAGAAAAGACTGGATATACAAGTTGAAATCAGTTTTTTTATCTACAGTTTGTTGAAAAAATTATGGAAATCGAACCGAAAATTAAAAAGTTATGAGACTTTGAATTTGACCGAATATTGACTTGTTGCGTTTTTTTTTCATCCGAGTGTATATTGTTTTTCTTCTATTTTTATTATGTAGATACATATACAGGGTGCCCGTTTTTCGAGTTCCACCATGAAGATCTCAGTTATTATAAGAGATACGTTCGAAGTTCAAGTCGAACATTTATCTGCAAGAAAATTCGATGTGTCGTTTGCAGTTTTTGAATTATTTTGAATAAATTTGTTTTAATTTTTTTCGTTTTCATTTTTTCAAGCGAACACCAAAAGACTTAGACGTTTCTGACTAGGACATTCTTGAGGCACTTTTTCACGAGGAATCTGAATCTGTTATTGTATTTTCCATGAGGTTCTTGATGCCAAAGTTACATCACTCAACTTTGTTTTTTCTCATGGGCGCTAAATTGAATTTTTGAATTTTTGAGAAGTTTTTTTGTCTTTTTTTTTCTGATTATAATGATCTATCACACGATATGATCGAATCTTTCCTGTTGATCAAAATTGAGAAAAATACATTTTTGCGAAGATTGCTTTGGGAGGAACGCCAGAAGTTGTTGAATGGCGCTGGCAGAGTTAAGAACTACCCCACAAAGATAATCAATTGTAAGAAAAAGTTCCCCATTTAATACAGATCCAGAAATGGTATAACATATGGGGTTATTCAGAACAGCCTTTCTGTTATTAATTTTTTTCAAATGGGTCGCGTTTTTCATAAAAATTGATAACCGCGCATATACCGTTAGTTTGATTTCAAATGACCCTCCCCAACCACCCCACTTCTATTGATCCATGACTTATGGGACACCCTGTATACATTGGTCCAGAAATGGCCCCATAGTGAGATATAGCAATCTATAAAGGCGAGCCCAAGATGTGGGATTTTTGTAAATATTTTCGAAACACTTCGTGATTAAATAACCACATTTTGTACATGTATCTGACTTTCCAATTTGAAATTGAGAATGTTTCGAAATTTTTATCAGGAGCGAGGGAAATAGGAGGAGCTAGGGGCACAATCTCCACCAATTTTTCATTTATGTTGTTTAAATCGTCCAATCAGACTAATTGCATGAATAATCTGTCAATTGTTATTGCAAGATTAATCTACACTAATTGCACGAATTATCTGTCCAATCAGTTGGTTGCTAGATTTATCTTCAAATTAATGTGCCCGCTTCACGTGCAGTTTTTCGTGACTCTCGGAGTGACGCTCCATCGCTCCACTTATGGGTTTTTTAATACTTTATTTCACCCATTTTAACAATACAAGAATAAATTTGAGCAAACTAATAACTGATATCTGATACTTTTTGTTACAAAAGATTGAGCGTCATGACCCGCTAACATTTCTCGTTAGAGAGAGAGAGAGAGAGCTTTTTTCTTCACATCAGTCCTAGAGTCACAGACAACACGTTATATGTCAATCAACGACAGCATCTAGACATCTTTCACAGAACCGTCATTTGTCTGTCACTACATTTCACCTGTTCACCATACGTTGCCAAGTCCTCAGCATTGTTGCCAGTTGCCACGTTGCCAGCTCGTACTTATCCTACAAAGTCCTGACGCGGCACCAGAGTTTGCTTGCGTGGACGTTTATTGGTCGAGACGGCCACACACTCCAAAATCGAACGTGAAGTTTTAAAAAGCTCCAGGCGTGTCTCGCATCTGACTTGGCGCGAGACGTTCCAACCGTCTTGAATTCCTGGCGCGTGGTGCTAAGCGGAGTCAACAAAAACCGTACGTGAAGGGATGATTCGCGCGCCGCTCCGACTCAAGGGAAGAACAGTTAAATCGATTAATCGCAAGTGGAACAGAGATAGTTGCATAGAGGAGTTTGAATGAGATTTTCTGTTCTGTTTATAAACGGTTTGGGGTTTAAAATGAAATGTTTCATTTGAAACTTCATAGACCACTCTACATGTTTTTGAAATCTGGACTCTGAGAGTTGGAGAAATACGTGTTGAAAACTTCAAATATCCAAACGAGTTTCCTGTAGCGAAGTAACGTAACGTCACAGCCAATTGTTGAAAACTTCAAATATTCAAACGAGTTTCCTGTAGCTAAGCCAATCTTGCTTCTGGTGAAATTGCCTGACGCATCACTGTATTTTGTTCTTGTATACCACTTTTCACTAAATCCAGCAAATAATTGAACGCATCATTGTCCATTCGAAAATAATTCCTATAGTCTTCTGGGTTACATTCGTTGATTTCTTTCAAGTGATTAAGATGGTTCGGTTCACTCCGGCGCAAGTACCATTTTTGGGACTAATACTTTTTCTTCTTTCTGCTGGACTGTTCATTTTCATGAGCTAATAGTATCATATATAATACCACAAGTGATAATATTTTGCCGGAAATATTCGGTGATTGTTACGACAGCTTGTTGCCTAGTAATTTCGTGAATGACATTGTTATCAAAACTACAAGCCGTAGGCGAGTAGTTTTGGATCAATGTCATGAGCGAAATTAGAGCAGCAAGCTGGAGTATGTCAATCGACGAATATTTCCAGAAAAAATAGTATCACGAGTTGTATTCGTATGACTATTTCATGATTGAATGAGACAATATATATAAGAAATAGGAAACATAATTTAAGTATATTTCAACTCAAACTGCGAAGAAGAACATAATGATAGTAATAAAATACAGAATTCAATTTTTTAGAAATTAACTACCTACCTATAGTTATTCACAAAGTGGAATGTACAATTTTGATAAACAGTATTTTTTTATCATCTTGGAGATGGTTGCTCTCAAAAGAGTATATACAATTGCTATCCAATTCAAACAAAATAAATTGAATTTATGTGACATGAAATAATTAAAAAAAAGATATCGTCGCCGAGGGGTTCGAACCATCGACCTTCGTATCTTCGCACAATAACCCTATCAGTTGAGCTACATCATCTGGTAATTATATTAGTCACAATAACTTGAGTAATTGAAGAAGATTACTCTGAAAAGGAATTTGAATTCTAGTATTGTTGTGTCAGACCGTCAACAAATACTCGCCTTTCATACAAAATGTCTCACTAACGCGAATTATAAGTAAATAGAATAAAGTAGGTAGATACCTAGATTATTGTCTCAGATTTGAATCCAATGCAATCTTGACCAGACACGATGTCAAAATGTTATCGCTGATAAACGATGTTTGTTGGTCACGTGTGGGTCAATTCGGCTTCTGTATTATTGGTAGAGCAAGTCCGATAAAATTTAATAAACAAAAAATATCGCTAGAATACAGAAGAAACCGTGAAAATGGTCGATTCTGATTGGTTCTCGATATCAAGAGTGGAATAGTCAAACATAAAATTTTTCTCTTTAAATGCAATGAACACATCCCGAAACAAGCGAAACCTTTATGAAATCGACGAACAGCGAAAGGAAATGGAACGTGCGTGTAGTTTAGCATGGCATTTCGCTCCAAGAGTGACGCGCTTGGAGTGCGAGCCAGGAATCTGTAAAAAACTGCACGTGAAGGGCTCACTTAAGGCTCATCTTGCAGTTATGATTATGAAGGAATAAAAAAAGTTTCCTTTTTGCCCTGGAATTCTTTACCAAAAGAAGTATTCTCAAAAACTTGAATAACCTCCAAATGTTCAAAAAAAAATCCAAATACCTAACTTCTCTCCCTATCCTCCCTATAGGTGTTCCCACAAGGTTCCTCGGTGTACCTCGAACATAATAGGGATTTCTTTCGTGCGCACCAAAAGATAATAATTATTTTTAAAAAGAATAATTGCAAGATTAATCAGTCAATTATGCCTTAATCTCACCTAATTGAGAGAATAATTTTGGAATTATAATTTTCAACGCGTTATGTTAGTTCTGAGTCATTGTATACAATATATAATATGTAATGAGAGTAACTGAAAATTATTTCATCTCTCAACTATTTAAACTAATATCGATTGACACATAAGTTGATTATACATTTTGATGAAATCCCCGATGCGATAGCGATCAAGTGTTACAATACAGAAGTACTCTTCTGAAAGGAGTCATTGGGGAAGACCACTGAGGGAAGAAATCCGTGCAAACCTCTTTCAATCGACGAATCATGATTTACGTTTGATCTACAATCAATATTATGAGTTGAAGTTGAAGGGAATCGAATCTAAATCGTTTTGAAATCAGCATATTTCATTCGTTATTTCGAAAAGCCAAATATGATGGTGGAGCTGTGACGTATTAGTCTAGCTATCTCTCTCTGATACCTCGTCATTCTGCAGTGTTGCAGTGTGATTGGTGAGTTCAAGAACAATAGGCGTGTTGGGACTAAGACGTCGCACCAGTCTCACCAATGAGTTGACAAAATTTCAAATGGCGCAGTAATTGTGTGTTTAGAAATGGACATATTCTAATTTATTTTTTTCATCGTCTTAGCATGAATGAAAAAATTCAAAATTAATTCACTGGTAGTTTTTCAGTATAGAGTTCACGATAATGTCATTTTAAAAAATGAGTGGTCTCCCCCAGTTTCACGCAATGGGTGCGTTGATGATCTGGATGCGAGTCTAGATCGGTGATAATTTGAGTATGTGTCGGGTGGTTGATGAGTTTGGTATTGATGAAATGGATAGGTTGATGATTTGGGTCGTTGATGATTTGACGGAATGAGGGTGTTAAGGTAAAAATTAGTTCACTGGTAGTTTTTCAGTATAGAGTTCACGATAATGTCGTTTCAAAAAATCAGTGGTCTCCCCCATTCGACTTGTGTTGGTATTCGTGATAGAAAATAAGCGTACGCCACATATCGGAGTTATTGAAAGCTGTCAGAGCGGCATGTTTACTTTGTTTTCATTGGTTCACATTTGTATTTTGTATGTGTTTATTGGCCATATCATCAAAACAAACCGCTCAGAAGTGTTCAAGTATTGCTGCCGTCAGGTGGGGCGACGTGTTATTTTCTATCGCGAATTATTCTCTTAATTTTATTCGTGGTAGTCAAGGTCATCATCTGACGTTGACATGACATGAAAACTACGGAAAACATTCCTAACTCCTGGCTTGGATGAATGTTGGACATGTTTTCCTGTAGTTTTCATGTCATTATGTGGGATAATAATTATTATTCGCTCTAGTTTAAGTGCGGATATGAATATCTATTTAGTATCATCATTATTCACCCCAGAGTTCAAAGTTTTTTGGTGAAACTGCACTTATCATGCGATGTTTTTTTTTTCGAATAAGGTACTTACGTATTTTCGTCTGAAAAATACGAATTTGACAATGAAAATGTGAACAAACCGCTATCTATTGGGATATTTTAGGAAAAATGCGAAATTTTACAATGTTTTGCCACCCTTCTTGGATATCCATTCACAACTATTTGTCCTTCTAGTGCCCACTTTAAATACCCACGTTGTACTTCAAAAACACAGTGTATTTCCGAAAATCAACAAGAAGTGTGGTTTATTTGGAATTTTTTCATACTTTCTTTCTTTTTCCCTTTAGGTTTATTGGATTTCTGTCACCTTTCGGTAACAATTTTTCCAGATCAGGTAATTAATTTTTTTCAAGAATAAATACTTGATTATGTAATAATATTACCACTCGCCTTGCCACATGAGACACCGGTTGTCTATCACAATGGCCTGAAGCCGAGTCATCAGTGTTCATAAGATTCGGACGTATGTACTCCTCTTATCCAGCAAATCCGTTGCTGATCTGGCCTGGTTACTGGCGTAGAGATGAAGGAGCACGTTTGACTTCAAGTATGAATCCGTCATCATCCGGCCTCTATACCGGCGTAGAGATAAAAGAGCCTGATATTTCTCACACACACTTTTTAAACTTCACATTAAATATTGGATTTCAATCCAGATCAGGTAATTAGAAAATTTTGGACTTGCACACACCACACACATTAACCTGACTTTTAACCTGGAGAGGCCATGTTTCTCCTACCGTGGCCAAAAGTCGAATCATCTTTTAATATTTTAGTGAGGTAAACAATCACACCAGCTGACGTCCATTCAATTATCAATTCTAAATACAAATCACAGAACTCAAAATACAAATACGGGATGTCAAATGAAGATCAAATGTCCAAAGAATTTGCAAGAAACTCGAGAAACCAAACTATTGTTTACCTCACTAAATATGAAACAAAAAATCCAATGAACCATACTTCTTGTTGATTTCAGAAAATAAAATGTGTTATTGAAGTACAACGTGAGTATATGAAGTGTCCAGTGATGTAAAAAGAAGGACAAGTAGTTGTAAATGAATATCCGAGATGGGTTGCAAAAGAAGGTGAAATTTTGCACTTTTTCATAAAAAATTGTTCTAAAATTGTTCTATCCGTCATTCGGTTGCCCCCTTACGAGCAACCCTCAGAAGTCTTCGAGAGTCTTGTGCGAGCAAGGAATGACGGGGGCCTTACCTTTTAACGTGTGATCCCAAACACTTTAAAAAATATAATATATATACAGTGTGACCCATTTAAGATGGAAGCACCCTTATAAAACTTACATTTTTCAACCGATTGGAATGATTTTTTTTTTGTTAGGTAGATATTCAAAAAGTCTATTAGGACACCAAATATCATGAATAAATCTCCATTTCCAGGGCCAACTAATCTGATTTTTCAAGGTCAAAAATCTAAAAAAATTACTAGCGATATTTTTAGAAAAAATCTGACTACACCACTGGATTTGTGACATTTTCAAATGGGTAACATGTAAATTACGTTGAAATGCGTCAATCAATAAAAAAGTTATAAAGGAATGAAATTTGAAAAATATGCCGTTTAATCAACCCACCAATTCATGTTCAGGAATTTTATGAAAATTCTGTATACTCCACTGGATTCAGGATGTCTTGAAATATTACTGATCACAGTTTCATCGAAATCTGTTCAGTAATAAAAAAGTTAAATTCCTGAACATGAATTGGTGGGTTGATTAAACGGCATATTTTTCAAATTTCATTCATTTATAACTTTTTTATTGATTGACGCATTTCAACGTAATCTACATGTTACCCATTTGAAAATGTCACAAATCCAGTGGTGTAGTCAGATTTTTTCTAAAAAAATCGCTAGTAATTTTTTTTGATTTTTGACCTTGAAAAATCAGATTAGTTGGCCCTGGAAATGGAGATTTATTCATGATATTTGGTGTCCTAATAGACTTTTTGAATATCTACCTAACAAAAAAAAAAAATCATTCCAATTGGTTGAAAAATGTAAGTTTTATAAGGGTGCTTCCATCTTAAATGGGTCACACTGTATAATAAATATAATAAAATATCTCGATAAATAGCGGTTTGCTCACATTTCCATTGTAAAATTAGTGTTTTCCAGACGAAAATACGTAATAAGTACCAAAAAAAATTCGAAAAAAAACCATCGCATGATAAGTGCAGTTTTGACAGTTTTTTTTATAAGAAAATATTCCAGTAGTTATCGTGAGCTTTATTTCGAAATTTTATTATACTTAGATTATGAACGAAGCAACGCGCATGCGTAGCATAGCCAGGGCAAATCTTTTGAGGGAGGAAAAAGAAGTAAACAAAATTATGGCAGAGAGAGAAAGGGAAGCAGCAGAAGGAAGGAAATTAGTGAACGAAAGAAAAATCGAGCTAGAAAGATTGGAGAGAAAACTATTTCAAGGAGGAAGAATTCCTGCACGATTGGAGCCGCAAGGGGCGGAAGACACGGCTGCCGATGAGAAATCACTCACCCCTCCGCATCCAGTGGAAAGCATGGCGCAAAAATTTGAAATTTTGAAAAAAGCAACAGGTGATTTTTTGTAGAGGTAAATAGACGAAAAAAGATATTTTGACTATTCAACGATATACGAATTTATTTGAGATTAGTTTATATCCGATCATGCATGGCCACGTACAGATGCAATATTGAAAGTGACTTTACAAAAATGAAGTAGGCTAAAATACTATTAGAAATATCACAGTCTGATCCAGCATTGTCTCAGAAAGAAGATTCATATATGTACAGAGTGGCCCAATTGAAAGCGGGCCACCTCATAAATCCCTTATTTATGTAGCGATTTTGACGAATTTTCTTTAAAATGTGGAGGGGGAAAATGTATATTCTAGATCTAAGCGGTTTCCACTTTTTCTAAAAACCAAGGCCTACTAGATCACTATCAGAGGCTGAAAAATCCAGAATCAATATTAGCAATTTTTTTAGGAAAAATCTACGTACGCCACTGGAATCGATGTCCTCCAATAGATCTGCACCAAGTTTCATGAAAAAATATTCAACATTTAAAATCTATTAAATTACTGAAAAGTTAATTAATAGTATATTATGTAACAAGTGTTATAAACGTCCTTCTAGTAACGAGTATTTTAAGCACGAGCGGAGCAGAGCGGAGCGAGTGTTTAATAAAAGAGTGTCTAGAAGAGTTTATAAACGCGTTACATACTATGCTTTTTCTACGAACTCCGAAAATTACATTAACAGACCTGCTATTCCTGCTAACCTACAAAATAATTCGAAAGGAATGGGAATTGAGAACATAATACATGCAACTGCATGCAACCAGCGAGACACGTATAAGTGATATTGGTTGTAGATGTGTCCAGTCCATTGCTCACTAACCTTTGTTTCACGTTTATTGTCATGCTTAGCGCAGAAAAAATATATTGTTCTCAAAGATGGATGCCTCATTTTTACACTTCTTGGAGATATGCAAGAACCAAAACATTCTCTTCGATTTCACTTTCGTCTACATTTCGCATATATTTTTCATGAAGAATTCTGATACAAACGAATATTGTTTCAATAACTCTGATACAAAATTCGAAAATAACAGTTGACAGTTAATACAATTGACAGGCCAGACATGTCTCAAATTACTGAAGCTGTGTTTAATGAACTACGTTGCCATGGTGATGTGTTTAACAAATCGTGTTGCTATGGTAACGTGCTTAATATTTTGAATAAATCACAGATCGACAATCCGTGATTAATCGATCATTTAGCGTGGTACATATCCGTACGCTAAATGCCATTTTAGTTATGTGAGTAGAAAAAATGCATTATGAAGCTTTCCTTGTAGTAACACATGCGATAACAAATGAATTACGACTTATTTGATAGACATTCTTATGAAGACAATCTTCAAAAATAATTGTCACATACCCATGGCAACACAATTTCTTGAAGACATTACCTACCATGGTAACACAGTTTTTTAAACACACCTTCAGCCATTCGAGTCGTGCCCAGCCTGTCAATTGTAGGGGCTGCCAACTGTCATTTTTGAATTTTGTTGCTATCGGTGACAATCAGAATTATTGAAACAATTACTGTTTGTATCAGAATTCTTCATTAAAAATGTATGCGAAATGAAAATTCGTATTCCTCATGTTAGAAAACCTGAAACTTATACAAGATTTTAGGTTCATGCTGTTGAAACTTACAGAGTTATTGGGCAATTTCAAAATGTAGTCTCCCCCTAGAACACCCTGTATCTCCTAAGCCAGCAACAATTTTATCAGGCATGTTAGGTTAAATCTCAATATTTTAGTGTTTACTATCTGTAGTTCAGAAATTTCCCATTCTTAATAAATCACCCTGTATAGCTTATCCTAGAAACCTGCCCTCCGTTTCCCTCTTATTCCTCTTTCAAATTCTTGATAATTTCATTGAAAATTTGAGATGCGTTTTTTGTAGGTGGCACGAGTGCAGACGATATATTGGATAAATTCAAATCCCAGAGAGAAACGCAGGAAAAGTTGGCATTTTTAAGAACTAAAGCTGAAAGTGAAAAGATTAAGTTAGAAGCAAAATTAGAGAGCCTAAAAATCAAATTGGACTCTTTCAAATATGCCGAGGTTCAAGATGCTGGAAGGTATAGAATATAGGTCATTCTGACAAGTATACAACTCTAAAATGTAGAAATGTAGATAGGTAACACAAAATGTCAATTAATTGTTTTTTGAACCATTGAAAATCAACTACTGGAATTGAGGAGGTGAAATCTTAATTTCTCAAGTTTTTCTTGGGATTATCTTCCCTCGTTTTTATGAAACAACTAACTCATTATTAACGGCCTACTTAAACCTTTGAAATGTTTTTTCTGTAGTCGTGTAGAAAATATTTTTTTCCTGATTTTGACATGTAATTATTGTAATTTGGCACTTTTCCAAACTGACGGAAGTTTTGAAAACGTCTTACTTCACGTTATAAGAAGCATATTACGTACGAATGGAAAAGTTCCATGAGTGCGTAATCACCGAACATAAACAGAGATCTTTATGTTCGGTGGCGTAATTGCTTTACGACGGGCATTACGTACTATACTTTACCTACTGCCATATATTATAGTACATCAAAAAAGTTTGGACAAACAGTCTGAATTATAATTCTTGACAGTTATGTCATCCGCTGTTGACGGCGATTACGCGATCATGAATGGCGGAATAAACGAAAACTGTGCGATGTGCTTACTGTGCTCGTGTGTTCTTGCCTACTTTTTATAGTGGCCGTAGGTAAAGTAAAATATTATGCCATAACTGATGATGAAATATTCATTTCTACACCAGTTACGAAATAGTAATGTGGATGGAAGCAGATAATAATGTATTTTGTGCTGCATCCTCGATTACACTCATTGGGAAATCTGAACTTGGATCAGCCATTTTCCACTAATGAAAGTATCAAAGGAGTCTATATCTATCGTGAATTTTATTCCTCATTCGTAATCATATTATTGTTTGACTCATATAAAACTATTGCCATCACTTCTGTTCAAGCGGAATTTTTAATCAAGATCAGAAAAATATTGAACGTCCCGCAAAATCCCATCATCACACAAAATTGCGCGTTTCCAAACTGGTTACGTGAATATCTACTTCGTAAAATCCTCCATGACCCACTAAACATGAAAACATAATTTAAACATAAATGTTATAATACATTTTTTCTGTGACGGAAAAAAAGTTTGGCATTTCATCTCTGTTGGCAGGTTATATGAACTTTCCATAAATTACTTCATTCCCGTGGGAAAAAAGTGAGTACTTATTTCCCGGATATATATCACATATACATATATACACTGTTGATAGCTATTTATGTGCTATATAGTTCCGAAAAATGAGTCAATAATACCGTCTCCGAGAAAATACTGCCTTTCCTTTTATCTTCCATTCGACTTCGCGGTTACGAATATTACTAAACAACCACTAAATTGGCGATTTTTTGAAATCAAATCACAGAAGTGACATCAGATATTTGATTACTTCAAAAGAATGATAAAGATGCCTATACAACGCAGGTGCCCCTACTGTTAAAAACTAAAAATTTCACGTAGATAGTTTTTAGATTTCAAAATAATGTGATATCTTCTCAACATTGATTCGTCCTTGCTTCTGTCACAGAAAAAAATAGTGTATTATACACGGGAAAAATATCGGATTTTAGCTCACGGTTTTTTGTCTCCCTCCGCTACGCGTCGGGAGACAACACAACACAACCTACTACTTTTTTCCCTTGTATAATAAATAACTATCTTATTTTGTGATGTTATTCAGAGATATGCTTGATGTCACATCAGATACGTTGCCGTTATGGCAATGGGCCTTTGTATAATATACATATATCAGAAATTTATTGAAATCAATAATACTTCATAGCGTATATTCAATGTTACTCAAAACATCTAAATAATATTGTTTATTAACAATCTGATTATTATTTTCCAGTTTTTAGGTTGTCTATTTTTTCTGGAATTATCTGAATGATCTTTAGAAAAGGCAGAGATGTTCTATCCCTGAATATAACTGTGTTCATGAATAATTGATCTTGCCGTACTCCTGAAACTATCCTGAAAGACTATTTTGAGACAGATTTGCTACCTCCTATCTTTCTGGGTTATCATTATTCTGCTTCATAAATTCAGTCATATCTAGCTTAGGTATATGACTTCTGCATAATTCAGTGATCTCTTACTGGACCATATTGTCTTGAATTTTGAAAATAAGTAATAGGTAAATATATATACGAGTTTTTGGAAGTTTCCTGACTGATTTTGAAATTCTATTCTGACTATGTTCTTCTTCTATAGCTATGATAGAAGATAGTTCACTTAGTGAAATCCGTTTGTCGGTACAGCCCAACATTGCATTTTTTGCTTTTCTATAAATCATTGCACCGCCAAACGGTTGCGGTCGGTTGACAGCTAATTAGATTGCGATTTCAAAGGCCCCGGCAGTCGTTAGCCGGCAGAATCCAGCGGTCGGCTAGGTTGCGGCGAGATCTCTTAGAAGTCGAAAAATGAACGAGTGAACTGTCTTATAGTTTATCTTATGTAGTCTTTGATATAACTCACCTATTATTTTTGTAATTCGTGAAATATGAAAACAATCCGTATTTACGAATCCCTACTACTTTTTCACATATTATGGAATACAGATACACATTAATTGGTTGCATTTCTATATTCCAGCAGAGCGATCCTGGAATCTAAGTAGGTGCGTCATGAGCAATTCATATTTTCATTCTAATTTGATTCAGTCCTTGTTTATTTTCCAACTTACTTTGATAAATACGAATAATAATAATATGAATATGAAATCAAAAATATTTTCACGGATTACACTGACTGACCTGTTCACCATAATAGACAACAAACAAAATAGCTGGAATGGAATTGACTTTTGAGTTGACAAGGTTACTTTGCCGTAGAAAAAAATATTATCTCCTTGTATCCTGTATACATGTTATGAGGTGGTGAAACGAAAACGATAGCATATAACAACTCAGTCTGAGATATATTTGAACAAATCTAAAATCAACATATTACAATATTATCTATCTAATAATATTAATTTCCAATATTGATGCAAACGTCTCATAAACGTTTTACTTCATGAATTCATGATGGATACTTCAGAAGGACATTATCGCAATGTTATTTCAACAATATCCCAAAACTTATACCTGAAAAATATTTGTGTTATGTATCATGTTTAGTGGGAATCCTTTCCATAATTGTGACACTTATGTTTTTATCAAATTACGATGACTATCCCTTATTGTCACCCTGTCACTGTATACAAAATCATTTATTTTTCCGAATAGAAAAACTGGTGACGTGGAAAATTTCCGAAAAGATATAGAATCCAAAATAAATACAGAAGATACAGAGAAAAAACAGGAGGATATGAAATATGTTGAAGAAAAACTGCTGACTTTGAATTTATGTGTCAACCCTCTCGCAATGCCTGATGGAGATGGAGTGACTACACTGCGGAGGATAAACGAAGATATGAAAGAAATAATTGGGAAACATTATGTTGGACAAACTATCGAACAGGTGAATACAGGATAGCTCGAATAATTTAGCAGCAGGATTGTGATAGTTATTATGTCAATCAAATATCTTGGTATATACATCAATCAAAATTTGAAGTGGAATTATCCTGTCTCAGAAACAAAGAAACTCAGAAGAACCTTTCCAAAATTCTTTTGCGGAATATTGTCAGACATTTAATAATCATGTTTTATCACACTCTCTTCCAATCTAAACTGCTCAATACATGAAACGAAAAATCGCATTTTTTTGATCAAATTTGATTTTATCAGTTTTATGACTTTTCATCAATAACACCAGTACAAATCACATCACTCTCACGTTTAATAGAATTTAACATTGAAGTGAACATGAAAAGTATGAAAATTCAATAACACATAAATTCTTTTAACAAGCAGTTGGACCACCCTGTATATTAGAATAGGTTGATCATGCATCATTTCGAGATTTTTGACCACCATTCCAACCAGATTGATTATAGGAACACAAAGCCAATAGAAATTAGAGCATCAAATTATGCATTATCTTAATAAAACATTCATATTTCAGTAACGCGTGTGACAATTCCAAAAATTTTTTTACAGTATCGAGAAAACATATGAAGCGGAAGGCGTTTGAAATTTTTGGAAAAATGCACAGCTTTGATTATCATCCTGTAGAATCTCATTCGGAAAAGATGGAATAGTCATATCCATAGGTTCGATAGTCAATGAAACGAGCTTTCAGAAACTGAGAAATTATTGAAAATCGGTTGAGGCAATCGAAAGTTATGATGATTCAAATTTGATCGAAAAAATACGATTTTACGTTTCATGTGTTGAGCAGTTTATATTATCGTATGGAATAATTGGATGGGGTGGTATGTATGAAACTCTTCTACAACCTTTATTATGTATTTAAAAAAATTTTTTGGAAATAATATTCCGTAAATCATTTGATTATCCATCAGCATTATCATTTTTTTAAAATAATGTATTGAATGTTAGGCAATTATTCTATAAGGCGTCAATAATTTTTAAGAAACAAAATCAACAATGTATACGACTTGAAAAACATAACACATAACACCTAAGTTCAGTTGGCTTATAGAAAATGCGAAGAAAAAAACGATGATCTCTTTTAATCAACTCCGATTTCTTTATTTCAATTTATTCTCATTTATTGCATGAATTGATTATTTGTTTTCAGTTTGAGTATTTATATTGTGGAAAAAAAGGTCACTAACCTTATGTGAAGGAGATACAATATGAAATATATATATACATGTAATTGATATTCAATGACAAAATGTAGATTTTACTTGATTCAATGAATGATTGAATAAATAATAAATGATCTCAGCTAGATTGGAAATATCGATAATAATAGAGCATACTTCTAAGATGGTCTACGTAAATCACCCTGCATATAGAAGTTTTTTTGGTCATATTCATAATGAAGATGCCATTTAACTTTGATGAGCGATATTTCGAAAACTATAACTCGTAAGCTGATGAAATTTGCAAGCGATTTATATCCCTATCGAGACTATTATTGAAGGCATACAATGATTAATATAAAATCCAGGGCCGGACTCGAAACATTCATTTTTCATATTTATTCCAACAAAATTGACTTTGTGATCACTTTAAATTCTGTCAGATTTTGTAAAAGGCAAAGCGCTATAGGAAACTGTTCATCAATTCGCACGGCACACTGTGACCGAATCAGTAAAAAGATGTCAAACAAAATCTCATGAGTGGATTTTCCATTTTGATCTGACAATTCACTCTCATAAATCATTCTACTGAAATCATGTTTTAGTTGATTTCTTGAACATTCTTGTTTGGTAGGAATTGACAGGGTAGAGTATTTGAAAAAAAAAATCAATATATAACAATATATTAGTCAATTTTCAAAATTTTAATTCCACTATATTGTGCCACCTTGACTGAACCGTTTCGAAAATATTGAATTAAAGACTTTTCTAGATGTGCACATTCAAAAGGATATACGAGATCTCTTAGGAAATAGTTTACGGCTCATGTTTGGGGATACTTTTATTCTTATTTTCGAAGAATCCATACTGCCAAAGCATATAGCAGCAGTCTAATTATAGGACACCTTGTATGATAAAATTGGTACATACAGGGTGAGTCAGTTTTTTGTAGCAGGAACAGCTGAGAGTAGACATTTATTGAAGATGAAAATTCTAAGTAAACATATAATATATGAGTGGGAGCTTCGTTTCCGATAAACAGGGCTTCAAAGTTTGCACGCATATAATATGTTTAAGATTTTCATTTTGGAAAAATGTCTCCTTCGAGCTGTTGAAGTCCTGCTACAAAAAGCTGACGCAGCCTGTATACTTGAAGGTCACATCAAATTATGAAACAGTTTCGACTATTGATGTCTATCTGGATTTTTTATCAGAAACCAATCTGAATCTGACATACCTAATTTTCCGTTAAAAGTAAATATCTAAACTTTTTTTCTTCTACGGCTCTAACACAAATTTGCTCTTGTTTCACTGTGTTCGATAAATCAGTGAGGTACTCTGTATTTCATCAATTTTATTTTCGTATCTGATATCACAATGACTTCGTCAAATTTCAAGTAATCACAGCTTTATCTAACAAAAAATTTCGCTATTATCTGTTACAGCCGTAGAAGAAGTGTAGTGTATAACTCACACAGAATGCTAAATTCCCACTTGTATGTGATTTGCCTCTTCACTTGTCGGTGTGGGTGATCAGAATTCTGAATCTTGAACCACCCTGTATTCGTGCCAATCAAATGTCAGTAGATAGCAATTCAAAAGTTGAGATAGTGACATGTAAGTCGGTTTGACCGATAATGAATAGTTTCGACACAAAAAAGTACTAAAATTGAAAAATCTCGATTTTGAACATCCTATATATCTCTGTAATCATTCCCGCTAGACCCCAAGTGTGACGCATTGATGAAATCAGCTCTTCAGGGAGAATCTAAAAATGCAATAATATATAGGGTGTTCCATTTTAAAAAACGAAGTTGATGTCACTTCCGGTTCAACCGAAAGTGCCTCCATTTTGAAAATATTTCAGCCAAATTGCTCCAATGAACAGTAGTATACCAACAAATTTTCAAATCAGCCCTACTTATGGTTTCCCATATACAGGGTGGCCCACGGTCGCTGGTACCTTAAACGTATATGGAAAACGGTACATTGGATTATCGTGAAAATTTGGTTACTTTAATAAGCGTTTGTGATCTAACGATTCAAAATATTTTCAGCGAAGCAGCGTTGCCACTTTCACCAAAAAGTAGCATCATCTTTGTTATTTCAAATGGAACACCCTGTATTTTATTGCGTTTTTAGATTCTTCTCGAAGAGCTGATTTCATCAATGTATCACACTTGGGGTCTAGCAGGAATTATTACAGAGATATAGGGTGTTCAAAATCGAGATTTTTCAACTTTAGGATTTTTTTGTGTCGAAACCATTCATCATTGGTCAAAACGGCTTACATGTCCCTATACTAACTTTTGATTAACTATCTACCGACATTTAATTGGAAAAAATACAGGATGGTCCAAGATTCAGAATTTTGATCACCCTGTATCTGTTCCAATTAAATGTCAGTAGATAGTGAATCAAAAGTTAAGATAGGGACATGTAAGCCGTTTTGATCGATAATGAATAGTTTCGACACAAAAAATTCCTGAAATTGAAAAATCTCGTTTTGAATACCCTATATCTCTGTAATAATTCCTGCTAGACCCCAAGTGTGATACATTGATGAAATCAGCTCTTCGAGAAGAATCTAAAAACGCAATAAAATACAGGGTGTTCCATTTGAAATAACAAAGATGATGATACTTTTTGGTGAAAGTGGCAACGCTGCTTCGCTGAAAATATTTTGAATCGTTAGATCGCAAACGCTTATTAAAGTAACCAAATTTTCACGATAATCCAATGTACCTACCGTTTTCCATATACGTCTAAGGTACCATCGACCGTGGGCCACCCTGTATACATAAGGGCGGGAAATGATTGAAAATATAAATTTGACTTTCGTCACTAGAAACATATAAATCAACATTATGAGAATTTCTCTCACAATCTCTCGCAACGGAAATTACGTTTTCGATGAAGGTATATTCTATTAAAAATTTACGTCTTATATACAGGGTGTTTCATTGGGAAAGGTAAATAATTCAACTGTGGATAGGGGTCACTGGGGTGATTTCAAAAAACCCATGGTTGATGGGTCTTCGACTTCTTATAACCGAGATACAGGATGTTTCATCAATTTTGTCCATATCTTCATTGTCTCATAACTTTCCAACCAACCTGTATATATTTTTGAAAATTGGTACACTTGCTCAATCTATCCTGTGGAATTGATTGAGGCAACAACAAAAGATAAAATCCAGGTCCGGCTTCACTTAAAATTCACAAATTCATTCTGTCAGAAAACAACACCCTATACATTCGAATTTCTCATTTTTTTTGCCATATCTGGAAAGAACATAAAAATTTCTATTCAGCGATGTGCCTTTTATTCGTGCACAGACGATTTTAACTATTCATATTATGAGCTCAAAATATTATTTTTGCTCATTTTGGGGTACAAAATTGGAATCAGACGAGATTTATTAATTTTATTACTTCCTATTCAGTATACGTGAGTATTACATTTAGAAGGAGTATTTCATATCGTTCTTCGTTCCAGACTTAGTTGCAGGTCCGTCATCAAAACTATACAGGGCTTTTCACGATAAGCGTTAATTAGATGTTTCTGGCAAACCAGGCAACAAATGAATCTGAAATTTCGATGGTATGTATAAATTAACATAATCTACACTACTGAAATATTTGAAACGATCCGGCGTTGCCGCTTCTACTCGAAAGTAGCAGCAACTTCGATTTTTCAAATGGGACACCCTGTATTTCATTACATTCTTGGATTCTTGCTGAACAGCAGAATTCATCGATTCCAAACATTCAAGGTCTAGCGGGACTGATAACTGAGATATAGGATGTGGAAAATCGAGATGTGTCAACTTTAGAAATGTTTTGTATTGAAACTATTTAGTATTGCATGGTCAAAACGGATTCAATGTCCCTATCTCAACTTTCCATTCGATATTCAACTGAAACAGATACAGGGTGGTGCAGAAATCTGAATTATGAAACATCCTGTATGTGTTTCGATTAAATGTCAATAGATACAAAGTTGAGATAGGGACATAAAAGCCGTTTTGATCAAAAAATTAATATTTTCGCAAAATCATTCCAAAGTTGAGACATCTTGATTTTTCCCACTCTAAACATCTCAGTTATTAGTCCCACTAGACCCCGAACTTTGTGAATCGATTAAATCAGCTCTTCAGGAAGCATCCAGGGTGTCCCATTTGGAAAATCAAAGTTACTGCTACTTTCGAGTAGAAGCGGCAACGCCGGATCATTTCAAATATTTCAGTAGTGTAGATTATGTTGATAATTATACATACCATCGAAATTTCAGATTTATCCGTTGCCTGGTTTGCCAGAAACATCTAATTAACGCTTATCGTGAAAAGCCCTGTATAGTTTTGATGACGGACCTGCAACTGAAACAAAGAACGAAATGAAATACTCCTTCTAAATGTAATACTCACGTATACTGAATCGGGAGTAATAAAATTAATAAATCTCGTCTGATTCCAATTTTGTACCCCAAAATGAGCAAAAATAACATTTTGAGCACATAATATGAATAGTTAAAATCGTCTGTGCACGAATAAAAAGCACATCGCTGAATAGAAATTTTGATGTTCTTTTCAGATATGGCAAAAAAAATGAGAAATTCGAATGTATAGGGTGTTGTTTTCTGACAGAAAGAATTTGTGAATTTTAAGTGGAGCCGGACCTGGATTTTATCTTTTGTTGTTGCCTCAATCAATTCCACAGGATAGATTGAGCAAGTGTACCAATTTTTAAAAATATATACAGGTTGATTGGAAAGTTATGAGACAATGAAGATATAGACAAAATTGATGAAACATCCTGTATCTCGGTTATAAGAAGGCGAAGACCCATCAACCATGGGTTTTTTGAAATCACCCCAGTGACCCCTTTTCACAGTTGAAATATTTACCTTTCCCAATGAAACACCCTGTATAGTAAAGGGTTGTTGAAAAAACCAACATCAATTCGTTTTGATTCTCTCTATCCACAATTTTGCCGTGACATTCCTTCTCGACTGCATGCTAATTTTACAACTCTATTTTATCTATTTCTATGTATACAGGTTCAAAATATCGATATGAATGAGGACAAATGGTTGCCAGCATTATATACAGGGTTGATAAGAAGAACGCCCTTGCCTCAATCTGAATCGTCTCCTATTCCACCTGCTCCCCCAGGTAAACTGATTCAATAAGTAAAAACAACTAATTTTTTACTATTTTCACACAAGGTGATTTTGTCCACTATGGCGACATAATAGGCCAAATTATGTCGACTTGGAAACTGCATTCGAATGTTAACAAAATGAAGTGGACAAATTCATTAGTTCAACTACTGCTCTATCGTTCAACATAAAATAAGTCATATTAAATTTGTTTTTTTTTTGGAGTAATAAGGAAAAAGGTTTTTTTTTTACGACTATAACACAAAATTGCTTTTGTTTTAATGAGTTCGATACATCAATGAGGTACTTTGTATGTCATCAATTTTATTTCCGTATCTGATATCACACCCAGCGAGCACAAACATCACTAGGATGTTTTGGAATCTTTTGAAAATGTTGGCGTGAAAATGTTTTTTGAGACGTAATATGCACTTCCCAAAGAGGTCTTCGAAGGATATTGAAGTAAGTATTGTTTTTGTTCTTCTGTGGAATTTCTTTGTTTGCCTATTGAGCGGTATCCCTGCGATGTTTTGGGATGTTTTTGAACTTCAGGCATTAGGATGTTCTTTTGAGACGTAATATGCGCTTCCCAAAGAGGTCTCCAAAGAATATTTAAAGTATTGTTTTTGTTCTTCTGTGGCACATTTCTTTGTTTGCCTTCTGAGGACTGGTACTGGTGGGGGACGTTTTGCACGTCAGCAACAAGTCCCTAATGGGACCTCTTTGCAAGCCCCACGGTGTTTTAATAGACTGACTAGTAATGTACTCGATCACTACCATATGCTGCAGTGGCAGGCCTACCAGCTACCTCGATAACCCCCGTTATCCATGGGAAGTTTTGAAAATGTTGCCATCAGTTTTTTTTTTTCTGGACGTAATATGCACTCCCCAAAGAGGTCTTTGAATGATGATATTGGAAATATTGTTTTCGTTCTGTGCGATTTCTTTGTTTGCCCCACTACAACGTCTCATGCTTACGTCACAATACGATGAATTCCGATTTGTTTCCGATTTAGTTGTTCTTGTTTGCATTCGTGTTTGCAGCATCTCACGCTTACGTTCACGCTATAGCGAATAATGACCAGCAAATGCAAGATGTGTTCTTCGGTATCTCAGTGTAATCAATATAAAAGTACAAATGTATTAATACAAAGCTTCCCCGCAGATGCAAAGTTATGCAGTATGGCAGAACAATTCAAAAATTGATCAGAATCAAGTGAAACTGATCATATTTTTCATCGGAACTTCGAAGACATTGATGATGACTAAAATTTTGTATAATACATGATTGTATTACTTGTATTCAGACTGAGAAAATCTTCCAGAATCTGTGAACACTTAATCAGGACACGTAAGAACCGTATTAAAAAAGTGTATGGTAAACTCTACGAAAAAGTTGCTATGGAAAAGTATTTTCAGTCTCACTGTATCTTCAATACCCAGATGACACCGATCTACTCGAGAATAAATGACAGCCGACTTATTAAAATATAACTTCCTGGCGTCGAGGTGTCCAGGCGGCCGCCAGCCGGCCCTAATCGTTACAACCGATAAAACAAGGCCTGCATGCTCCGTGGGTGACGTCACTTGGTCAGGCCTAACCAGCGGCTCGAAACGACAAGCGCTTATAGCGCTATAAGGCGACCGCGTATTTCGATTTTAGTTTTAGATCATTATTGAGCCGATTTTGCTTTTTTTTTGAAGGGCTTCCGGTTGAAAGAGGATGCCAGCCGTCAACTGAGCCCTTCTTCGCATCCCATTCGATTTTATTATGGAAAAACGAAGTTCCAAAGCAAAAACCAGTATAAAACACAAATACCCACCTACAGCAACCCATTCGAATTAAATATATTGGCAAAAATTGTAGTGATTCAATCTCATTAGAGGTAAACTTCACACCTACTTATACAGGGCCCGCAGAACATAAACTTATCATGAGATTGATCGAAAGAAAATTGGGGAAAATGTATTTTAGTTTGATAGACATGCCGTTTGTTATACCTAATTACCTATATTTATCTTGGAGAATTCCTATTACCTAAAAAATTAGCCAGTGAGTGTTTTCAATTTCCTGTTGTTGGATTTTTTACCCAATTGGTCGTTAGACTTGAAACAGTAATTTTTAAGTAGAGTGTTTGTAGTATATGTTAATATAATAATTGCAATTTGATCATTGGAATGAATTCTGCATTCATTGCCACGAGGCAAATGACCGTTTTCAGAAAGAAATTTGAGAATGTATTGAGTCAGAAACCAAAGAGTCCAATGCATTCGAAATATGTTTCAAAACCCTCTTTTTCTGATTATCAAGACATTTTCCCGAATTATGTATCTCGTTTTTATCTATTTCAATTAGTAATTCCTTGATTTGATTGATATTATCAGAGATAAAAGGTGTTTTCAGATTGTCTTTTAGAGATGTTTGTATCGCTAGGTCATACAAAAATGATTCCACATTCAAAACAAAATCAATCACCGAATATGTAATTACGGGCCCTGGAGAATAAGACAATTTGAATAATGTGACTTTTTGCAAATCGATAATTTTGAACCACTTTTCGGGCAACTGAAAAGACTCTAATACAACTAGAAATTCTTGAAATTCTGTGTAGCAAAATGATTTTTGGTAATTTTCGAATTCAGTTTTACTTTTGGTAAGTGCTTGTGCCAAATTTTTAGTCTCTAGTATCTCAAGTTTTTCATCACGACTTGTGCGTAATTTTACATCTTTCGATAAATAAGATGGACAGTTGGGAAATTGAGTGGGAATAACATCTCGTTTGAGCCTAGGAATTTTCAAATCTATTGTTACAGTTTTGCCAGTTTTTGAATCGGTTGCAGTAGATGAAGTAATAATATCATCTTTAGTAAAATGTAATTCACATACTTTACTGTACTTAGATGGAGTCGTAAAATCCTTGCGGTGAATTGCATGTACCCACTTTTTCGATAGTTCCTTGTCCAACGGGAAACTAAAAGCATGAACTTTTGGACCACCCACATAATTCCCCCGACAAAAGGGAACACAACACTTGTAAGGCATTGTTATTTCGCCTATCACAACACGAAATATTTCACAAAACAGTAATTTCTCCGCCTATTATTTTGATGAATAAACAACAAGAGAATTCAAGCACACGCGATTTACCTACGCCACCGTTCTTAAACAAAAACAAACTGACGATCGATCGACGCGAATGCCTTGGAAGATGGCCTGAGTATGCGACGTCACGAGCTGTTTACGTCAGAGTCTGCTGGCCTTGTTTTATCGGTGGTAACGCCCTAATACACATTACCAGGGAATAAATTATTGACTTAGAAGTGCTACAGCGGCAACAAATTTCAATGCACCATTGATGGGAGCGCTCGGCCACCAACGTATATGCGCTTGCAAAACCGTATCAAGGATGAGTTTTCGAAGCACTCTCCAAGTATCTGACCGCGAACCACAAACTGCGCGCATTTATAGTTTGTAGTTCGCGGCCAGATACTTGGGAAGTGCTCGAAAAACTCATCCTTATGGAAACGGTTTTGCAAGCGCATATACGTTGGTGGCTGAGCGCTCTCATCAATGGTAGCACTTCTTAGTCAATAATTTAATCGCCGGTAATGTGTATTAGGGCCGGCTGGCGGCCGCCTGGACACCTCGATGGCGGGAAAGTAATGTTGGGCCGATGGTTGGTGTTATCTGGGTAATAACGTCCCTTTTTTCGATATACTCAACTGAGAAACTATAATTGGTATGAATAAATTTAAAGCCCGGTTGCTCGCCGGTCCAATCCAGGCCTGCCTGAAGCTACTAGTTTACAAATAATAAATTCCTGAGAAGACTCTTTTCTGGGAGTTATAATATGTTTCATCGCAGTTCGCTGTGACATAATGAGTCAGGAATAATTCAAATACCATCTAATAGGTATTTTCGAGTACATCTTGCAAAATTCAACGTTTTAATCGTCCTATTTACTTAGGATACTTAAGATACCAGGGTGGTTCCATCTAAATAAAGCAAGATACATCGTATATACAGCATTATCTTGTTTCAATCTCGTCAATCGGTAACAATGATCAGTTTGAAAAAACTGCTATAACTGAGAAATTGGGATTTTGAATTTCAATATGAACCGGTTCAAAGTTTTCGCTAATTCTTGTTACTGGATTGAAAAATCATATTGGTTAAGTGTCTAATGGTGTATTGAATAGAAACATAATTTCAGGTTCAGATGATGAAGAAGATGTACCTTCTAGGGGTTATCTCAAGAGGCAAGCACAGTTAGTGGTTGATGCCAAGTCCAGGAAAAAAAATATCAGAATTCAATTACCCAGAAGAACTTGAAAAACAAATAATTTGTTCCATGATTAAGACCTTAGACCTCAGCTTTCGTCTGAGAGTAGCACATTGTAATTTTTAGGTACCACACAGTGAAACTGAAACTAGGAAAAATACGAATGTACTGTACAATTTGTTGTTTTTATTTAATCTGTTCATTAATAAAAATACAAACTCATATTATTGTTTCTACTATGCATTTCTCAAATACATTCCTCCATAATTTACAATTCGATTCTGAATTATATTTACAAAAAAATCTACAATTAAACTAAACAACAGCTAGTACAAATTGATATAAGTATATCAAGACCCAGAATTCAGTCTCATCACAACAACTAATAGGTAGAGAAAAATGTACTAATTTGCACTGGTAAAAGTGAGGTTTTTCTGTAACTGCATATCGTCAGTTACAAAACATAAGTCGACTACCTAAATAAATATACAAAATTTTGAAAATATAAAAAAAGTCGTGTTTCTATCATATTATTTTGTTTCAACATTAATCAGACATGAAATTCTGTAGTAAGCCGGTGATATCATTCAGTCAACATCCACTGAATTATATTTTTTCAATAAAAACTTTCAAAAAGTGCGAGCCTTTTTTAGTTTAGGCAACTAATTCCTTGGAGAAAATATAACTGATGTTAGTTGGTGGAATCGAATCAAATATTCCAATTTACATGACATAATATTAAGGTTTTTTCTGAATATCATATCCATATTATTTGGCTTATTTCAGGAATAAAAGTTCACATTAACAAATGTTCTAACTTTTCAAGATACAGGGTTTTGAAATTGAAGATGAAAGTGTTCTTTCCAGTAATTACTAGAGAACCACGTAACGAAATTTCAAGATATTCTAGTGAAACACGGAGTATGTAAAAAAGATGAATGGTGTAGTGTCAACTCATGAATTCATGCAAATTCCAGTGGTGCCGTTTAGGTGGCTAAGCAAATCACTCAAAAATATGACATTCAATTTTCTAAAAAAAAGTTCTTGTTTAATCTCGATTGGGCACACATCCTGTATATAGGAATATTACTGTTAATGTCAGATATATTGGTTTTATGGAACACATATTTTTAAGGTCGGATCAAACAAACAATAATTGAATTAAATATGACTTTACCTAGGATATTTTAAATTCCTGCAATAGTACAGATATTGGACATAATCACACTCAATTTGTTCAATTCATGAACAATTGTAGAAAACAGTAATTTGAAGAAAATTGAATATCCACTGATTTCCACTTTTTTTAAATTCTTACATAAATCTAATTCCGTGGATGGAGAGACTATAATGAATCATTATACCTACTAGATGTTACCGAGGAAATTTTCATAAAAACATAAGAATGAAAAAATGAATCACATAGTTGCAAACAAGTATTATCTATCCCCGTACCTTGCGAAAAATATTTCATCGAATATAATTATTTAATATGGGTCTTTCAATGAACGTTTGCAATTTAGATAAATAATCAATTTTCAAACAAATAGTAGAAGGTAGAAGTTGTCAAAACACCTAAAATACATTGAAGTACATAAAAATTTCATTGTACATATCATTTGGAATTATTAATAGACTTTAAAGTTTTTGGTGAAAAATTATTTCATTCTGTTTGCTTGCTTGCTATCACATCAAAGGAATTATCAAGTTAAAATTTGAAAGTAGCATAAAAACATCAGCAGTCAGTAGCATCAACATCTGTAAAACATATAGTGAAAAATGTTTGATTCCATATCATATACAGAGTGTCCCACTAAGGTCGAAACCTACTCTTTCAATACATAAATAAAAAGATCATTGAATGTTGACTCAGTTGGGTCATTGGACTTCTTTCATATTTTCAATAATGAAGGTGAAGTTAGGCTGTTTTCGACTTGTGGCGTTGGTTCCAGTGCTGGGAAAAAAAATCGCACTCCTTAGCGGTCCTTTTAGTGACTTGAAAATAGTTTGAAAACATTTCTCTTAGCCGATTTCGTTGTACAAGGTACCCAAAACAACATCAAGCAACACATTCTACAGGTCAAAATAGGTTGATTGAAATCAGTGCCATCTTGATATTAGGTTAGATATTTGTCATTTTCATTTCATTATCCAAGTAATCCGAGTCTTACGAGTCCCAAAAGACGTATTCTGATAATTAATATCTAAGGTAACGACGTCTACTTCGACTCTGATTGTTGGATATTTTCTATCCAACAATCGTGTCTGCCAAAACATATTTTTTTCCCGCCGTAAAAAAATCGGCTGAATAGTTTTGGCGTGAAAGCCTGACAATCAAACTTACATTCAAAGTTATAATATTAGTAGGGAAGTAGGGATTGTAATCGCCATCAACTTTGAATAGTTTTCTTTTCTCCAAGGATTTTAATGTATTCATGAAAATCTGAAATTATTTGTCATTGTATAGAGGTAAGTTGGGTTCAATCGGCCTATTTAGACCTCTAGTTCACCCCATAGAATTTATTGCACATTGTCCTGAGTCACCCTGTACATTTTTTTCCGAAGCCGAAAGGTTATGGTTTCTATAATATTATATCTCGTTTACCTTTGTGGGACACCTATAAACTGTAAGACAATAAAGGAAAATTTTGGAGGTTAAATAATCAAAAACAAAAATATATTCAAAACACCACAATAATATTTAGTGATGCCTGAATACGTATCTCGGCAACTTAGTTTTAATCCTCAGTAGAACTGAAAAAAGGAGATTAGCTGGCTCGATTATATATTGGTCTGGATATTCATCAGAAATTACGATCAAAAAGGATTGTAGATATTTGAGTGTATTTTTGTATTAAAAAAAAATGGTAAAACGAATGAAATGGTACAAAGCAATTGGCTGAATTCGTTGGAAGTTGATAAAAATGATCTAATTTTGGTAGATTCGCGGTAGCCAAGGTCATCATCTGACGTTATGACGACATGAAAACTAAGGGAAAACATGTCTCATCTGAGCCAGGAGTTAGGAATGTTTTCCCGTAGTTTTCATGTCATCGCAACGTCAGATGATGACCTTCGATACTGCGAATAGCAATTGATATGTCCCCGGTGAAATGGCTCTTGCAAAAATCTTAAAAATATTATATTTGTACTGCCAACAAGACACCATTGAAATGAAAAATAATCAATTGCCTAAATTTCCAGTGTTTAATTGTTGTTTATAATTATTTTCACATGAATATGAAAATGATAACGACTCGAAATTAATTTAATATTTTATGCGGTGGGCTAAAAACATTGCAAAATACGTAGGCAGTTGCAATGTAATAGAAATGTGGTATGGCCGAGGTCTTGAAAAGTTTATGAAATGCTTAGAACCATGGTGTAGCTAATCATTAGGAGAAGGTTTCGTCATTACATTCTCGATGAAATCTGACAAGGGCCCAAATTTTGAAAAATTTATTTGATTACAATGTGAGCTTTGAGGGATACGATACTTTATTCATGTACGTATTTCATAATAAAATGGAAATGAGAAATATACGATGAACCTAACCTAGGTAATAGACAAATTAAATGACGGTTTTTACAAATTTCATACGACGAACAAACGAACAATTGACATTAATAGTGCTATCAACTACTCATGCTATTCACTGATAAATTCTGATATTGAATGACTGTTAGAATAAATTCTCGAAAGATATAATGATATTAGATTTATTGATGTGAAAACAGGGAGTATCCAAGAAATTCGAATTTCATCTGCAGTTGGTAAACATCCATCACAGACAGCTTTTTACGATATTTGTTTAATATCGTTTTATTTAGATTCAGGTGGAGATGATTGCTGAGATAATTTAGTGACATGATGCCTTACAATGACATCTATTTTCAATTGCAGATCTTGTGGTGGCAGGCAGGATACGAGGATAGGACAGTTCCTTAGTTCTCTTTATTCGTAGGATTTGACCGTCACAACCGATATGCCGCCATTTACACGCGAAATTCCGAAGTCATTAATCCTTTGAGACATTAGTTGCGTTTTATTTATCCGATTCCGCCACCGGAATCTTTTAACCTGTCGTTTTATTTGCAAAATTTCCGATTCCGGTTGCTACGTTTCTTTCCGTCTCACTACAAGGAATGGCGTGGAATGACTGTTGACAATTGTCAAAAAATAAAATTAGATTGACAATATACGAAAGTTTTTGAAAGTAGAAGACATTTTTATCGTAACGTTCACAAGTTTATGATTCTTTCAAGTAAGACAGGTTTCATATGAGAGAAGTCTTACCAATCATCACAATCACTGCTTCACATATTGGTTGATTCATTTTCTAGATTCTTAACTGTAGTATCATGATTTTGAAATTATTTGGGGCCCAAATATATCAATATAACCTCGATCATCTATAATATGTCAATCTCTCATGCAAGGACATGAAGTTTCTCGTTTTATTTGTAAACGTTGTTCTGTTTCCACCACCGCTACCAGAATGAAACAAATAAAACGCGACTATTGTGACGGAAACTTAATGACAAGTAAGTACATCATAGTTCTAAGCATTCCAAAATTTCATTTACCAACAAGCATTACTTTTATCACTAACATCAATGGAGAGTCGCCACTCATCCGAGGACACACTGTATCTACATCTGGTGTCCCTGAAGGGAGCCTCGCCCATAGTATACCTTTTCCTCAACGAAATGCATATTTGACAGATTGAACAACAGTTCATTTTTTTTATCAAAGCAACATTCGAAATACGACTACAAGATAAGATCACTTAGACAGCAATTCGCAGGTATGGGTATGTTTACTTGTCAGAGAACAGGTACCACTGATGAGGTCAACTAGAGCGAAACAGCTGTTTGGTATTCACGATACAAGGATGTGAGCAATGGTTAGTAAAGAGCACAGCCAAAAACCATATGTAAACAGAGTAAACACACCGCTTTGACAGCTTTCATAGACCCCGCTATATAGCTTGCGATCATTTTCTATCGTGGATTTAACAATAAACATAACCTATATCCAGGATATAGG